GGTCGTTGACGACTACTCGCGTTACACCACAGTCTTCCCCTTGCGCAGCAAGGGTGAGGTCACTGAGGTGTTGATCGACTGGATCCGCGGTGCTCGTCGCCAGCTTAGTGAGAGTTTCGGCTCCGACCTTCCTGTTTTGCGTCTGCACTCAGACAGAGGCGAGGAGTTTTCCTCCGACCTTCTGAGAGCCTTCTGTCGTTTGGAGGGCATCCGCCAGACGTTCACGCTCCCGGCCTCCCCGCAGCAAAATGGGATTGCTGAGCGCCGCATTGGCATGGTTATGGATGTCGCTCGTACGTCCATGATCCATGCGGCTGCTCCCCACTTTCTGTGGCCGTTCGCGGTTCAGTACGCTGCGCATCAGATCAACCTTCAGCCTCGTGTCTCCTTGCCGGAGACCACACCTACTCTGCGGTGGACCGGGAAGGTTGGCGATGCGTCCGCGTTCCGTGTCTGGGGATCTCGAGCTTTTGTCCGCGATACTACAGCGGACAAGCTGTCCTCCCGTGCCGTTCCCTGTGTCTTCCTTGGCTTCCCTCCTGACGCACCCGGGTGGCAGTTCTACCACCCCAGCTCGCGTCGTGTTCTGTCCTCTCAGGACGTCACGTTTGACGAGTCGTTGTCGTACTACCGTCTCTTTCCCTACCGCACTGCCTCTCCCCCTCCCCTGCCGCTCTTCCTTGCCCCAGGTACTCCTCCGGTAGACCCCCTCCCCCCCCAGGGTCCTGCCCCCTCAGGTGTGTCCAAGGTAGACCCTGCCGAGCCGGTCGAGGTAGCTGTCGACTCAGGTGCTGCTAGGGGTGCCGACCCTGCGGGTGCGGGGAATGGGGGTGCTGAGACTGGGGGTGCTGAGTCTGGGGGTGCTGAGACTGGGCGTGCTGAGCCTGGGGGTGTGGCGCCTGAGGGTACTGTGTCTGGAGGTGCTGAGCCTGCGCGTGTTGAGTCTGGAGGTGCTCTGGGTGTCCCGTCGCGGCGGGAGCCCCTCTCTCCACAGCGGCTTCGTGAGTGGTACTCTCGGCGCTGTCGGGTTGCTGCTGGTGCGGGTGCTGCTGGAGGTGCTGGCGCTGCTGGAGGTGGTGCGGGTGCTGGAGCTGCTGGAGGTGCTGCTGGTGCTGGAGCTGCTGGAGGTGCTGCTGGTGCTGGAGGTGCTACTGGAGCTTCTGGAGGTGCTGGCACTGCTGGAGGTGGTGCTGGTGCTGGAGCTGCTGGAGCTGCTGGAGTTGCTGGAGGTGCTGCTAGGATTGGAGACCCTGAGGCTGAGGGTACCGGTTCTGTCTCTGCTGTTTCTCGAGGCGCTGCGCGGCCGCGGCCGTACTACGTTCCGCTTCTTCAGCAGGTTCTTGGCTCCCCACCTGCTCCTGGTTCTCCTCCTCCTTCCTGAGTCCGCCGCCTGTCCCGTCTCAGTCGCAGTTACAGCCGGCCTCTCCGCTGCCTTGTCCTTCTCCTTACTCTGGTCCGACTCGAGGTCTTACGGAGCGTCGTGAGCCTGAGTCGCGTCCTGTGTCGCCTGCGTCTCGTTCTACGTCGCCTGTCCGTTCTGTTCGCGCTGGTCGTGTTTCGCGTCCGCGTCTTCCTCCTGTCCCTGGCACTCACTCTATGACACTGCGTCCTTCCACTGCTCCACAGCGTGTCCCTCTGCCCTGTCCTCCTGCGTTCTCTCTTCCTGACGGTCCGGACCCGGAGTCTGACTCCCTTCGTGCTGCTAGTCCTACTGTCACGCGCTTTCTGGCCACTGCTGTCACTGACCCCCTGTTTGAGTTCTCTGCTGCGTCTGCTCTTGTTGCTGAGCTTGTTGACTTTTCTGCTTGCCCCTGAGGGAGACCCGGATGCACTAGACATCCCGACCCCGCGCTCTTACGCAGAGGCGATAGAGGGTCCCTACTCCTCCCAGTGGCAGGCAGCCATGGACGCAGAGATGGCTTCCTGGAAGTTCACAGGCACCTACGTAGACGAGTTTCCCCCACCTGGGGCGAACATCGTCAGTGGCATGTGGATCTTCAGGGTGAAGCGGCCGCCGGGTTCTCCGCCTGCCTTCAAGGCGCGTTACGTTGCACGTGGCTTCAGTCAGCGACAGGGAGTTGACTTCTTTCAGACCTTCTCCCCTACCCCGAAGATGACCACTCTTCGGGTACTGCTGCACATTGGTGCTCAGCGTGACTACGAGCTCCACTCGCTTGACTTCAGCACAGCCTTCCTACAGGGCAGCCTGCACGAGGAGATCTGGCTGCGCCGCTAACCTGGCTTCACTGGGTCGTTTCCTCCTGGTACCCAGTGGAGCCTCCGGCGGCCAGTCTACGGTCTCCGCCAGGCGCCCCGTGAGTGGTACGACACGCTCAGGAGGACTCTTGCTGCTCTTGGTTTTGCTCCTTCCACTGCTGACCCTTCTCTGTTTCTACGCACTGACGCTACTCTGCCGCCGTTCTACGTTCTTGTGTACGTAGACGACCTTGTCTTTGCTACTGCTGACACGGAGGCACTCGCCCACGTGAAGTCCGAGCTGCAGAAGAGACACACGTGCACAGACCTGGGTGAGCTCACAAGCTATCTTGGCTTGCGGATCACCCGGGACAGAGCACAGCGCACCATTACCTTGACTCAGTCACACATGGTGCAGCAGGTCCTTCAGCGCTTCGGCTTCACCTACTCCTCGCCACAGTCCACTCCTCTGCCTACCGGTCACTCGCTCTCAGCTCCACCTTCGGACGAGTCCGTAGAGCCGAGTGGCCCGTATCCAGAGCTCGTGGGCTGCCTCATGTACCTGATGACTTGCACACGACCTGACCTCGCATACCCTCTCAGCCTTCTGGCTCGTTACGTGGCTCCCGGCAGGCACCGAAAGGTGCACTGGGATGCTGCGAAGAGGGTGTTGCGATACTTGTGCAGTACATCGGGCATGGGGCTCGTGCTTGGAGGACGGGCTCGAGTTGTCCTCACTGGTCACGCTGACGCCTCCTGGGTTGACGACTTGGCTACGCAGCGGTCGTCACAGGGTTACACCTTCAGTCTTGGCTCCGGTTCTGTCTCTTGGCGGTCTACCCGCTCTTCTTCTGTTCTCAGCTCCAGTTGTGAGGCTGAGATCTACGCTGGGGCCATGGCTGCACAGGAGCTTCGCTGGCTCACCTACCTTCTGACCGACTTGGGAGAGGCACCTCGTTCTCCTCCAGTTCTGTACGTCGACAACAAGGCCATGTTGGCCTTGTGTCAGGAGCACAGACTGGAGCACAGAACGAAGCACATTGCTCTGCGCTACGTCCTTGCTCGAGAGTTGCAGCAGCGTGGCCAGCTTCGTCTTGCTTACGTGGCCTCTCAGGCCAACACTGCTGATGTCTTCACCAAGGCACTTCAGCCTTGTGATCATCAGCGTTTCTGTACTGTGTTAGGCCTTGTACCTACTGTGCCTCACTTGTTGACTTCTTGACTCTGCTTGTACTGTACTCTATATACTTATACCTGCATGCTTACACTTGCTAGGTTGTGTTCACTGTATTGTTTGCTTTCCTTTATATATAACTCTGCATGTGAACTGGCCTTCTGGCCCTTTGCTTGTGCTCAGACTGTGTGGTGACTTTGTGATCCACCCTGAGTTTGCTTTGTCTTTCTTGACTGGTCTTGTGACCCCTTGTTCTCCCCCACTTTGCCTATGGGGGTGTGTCAAACATATATTTACTATAGTCGGTCTAGGCTGTAGTGGGGTAGTCCTTAGAGGGTACAACAATTATGTGTTTCCTACTTGTACCCTTCTCATTTCCTAATTCAATCATTCTTTCGTCAAATCCTTCTCACAGCCTCTTGGCCCCTGTGTGCTGGAAGAGAATCGCTTGCAGGAGATTCTGCATTGTGACACGAAAATTTTCGACTCGGTTGAAATGGCAAGAGTGAAACATACAATTTGGTGTCTTCAATTTATAAATTCGTATATGTCATTATATAAGCGGATGCGCTTATAAAAATGACTCAATTAGAAGCGCACCCCCCTAAAAAACTCTGCTTTATTATAAGCGCAGGTGCGCTTCTATCCGGGGTAATACGGTAGCTTGTTCTCACATACTAGTGCAAGGTGGTTCAATTACCGTATACTCCTGGACAAAACACCCCCCCATAATTGTACACCCCCGGGTAGCTTGTGCGGGGTGGGTGTTATGGGGAGCCTCGTTTCTACTATACCCCCCTTTTGGGCTGATTTTCTATAACACCCCCCCTTTCTTACGAATTCGTTATAACAGTCGTTAACGAGTAGCTGCAATATTGAAGAATATCGCGAAAATTTCTCCCTAGATGAAATTTCGCGGTACATTCACTTACAATCTACCGAGATTTCCCCCCTCGCACTACTTCGCTGTGACCACGTGCAGGCGAATCTTCCGCTGCAAGTGGCAAGAGAGGTGCCACATGGCATTTTCGTGGGGGTGATGAAGCTCGTGGCCGAAACCCACATTCGCGCCTCAGACAGTGATGTTAAAATGAAAATCAAAACACCCACATTGTCTAATTAAATAAACACTAACACTAAAATATACCATATGTAAAGACCCGGGTATTATGTATTTTTTTCCTATGAGGAGACCCCCCCCATTTTTTCCCTGTATTTTTAGCTATACCCTAGGGTGCTATGTCCGGGAGAATACGGTAATCCACTATTACGCTTCTGCTAATACATCACCACTCTGAGACTTTAGTCATGAAAACGATCCTAAGAGTCTTTCTCAGCCCAACAATTTACAGCTTAGGCTTACCGTAATGATAAAATCATGCTTTTTTTTTGTTTCTGGACACAGATCAATCAGACCTTTTATTTGAAGTAGCACTATTTCTTCAGGCTTTTATTTTAGGAACACTCACTGACAATCAGCCTTTTCTCTCAGAGAGACCCTGATGCATCAGGATCTCTAAAAGTGAATCCGAGGCCCTGGATGAAAATACAGGAAACCAAAGCTTACAGGTATTAAACAAAAAAAAATATGATATCAGCCGTCCAGGAACGACACCTACGGCGAGCTAGATCATGTTACGGGGTGAGTGGGAGCAGGCAGCGTGCCGACGGCATCGACGAGGCCAAGCTGCAGAATGCGCGGAGGCGAGCGCGCGGGGCGCGGCAGCACGCGGCCCTTCTTGGCAAACCAGTGCGGCTTGAGCAGCGCTCGCAGGCCCAGAGAGTTGTAGTGCACTCGTGTCACCCGCCCCCCTGCCGCCTCCACTGCCTTGCGCACTGACTCCGATGCGCGGCTCACCTGAAAGAGCAAGAGAGGGGGGGGAGGAGGAGGGGGGGGGGCAGGGGTACAGGATAGGATGGAGGAGGAGGGATGGCGCGAGACTGGTGGGCGACGGAGGCATGGTGGCGGCATGAGAACAGGACAGAGGTGGCGAGAGAAAATGGGAGCAGGTGGAAGCAATGACACGAAGCTGCCTTTCTTGAGTTGAAAGGAACGGTTAGCCTGGCGGGAGGAGGAGAGAAGAGGCGAGGAGAGGAGGGGAGAGGCGGGGAGAGGAGAAGAGAGGCGAGGAGAGGAGAGGAGAGGAGAAGAGAGGACAGGCGAGGAGAGGGGAGAGGAGAGGAGAGGAGTGGAAAGGGGAGGCGAGGCGAGGAGGGGAGAGGAGAGGAGAGGAGAGGAGAGGAGAGGAGAGATGAGGAGAGGAGAGGAGAGGAGAGGAGAGGAGAGGAGAGGAGAGGAGAGGAGAGGAGAGGAGAGGCGAGGAGAGGCGAGGAGAAGAGAGGCGAGGAGAGGCGAGGAGAAGAGAGGCGAGGAGAGGCGAGGCGAGGAAAGCCGACACGAGGCTCGGAGCAGACCTCAAGGTGCAGCGGCAGGGAGAGGAGGTGTGCCCCCCGCCCAAGCAGCTTCACCCCATCCCGCATGGCCTTGCCGCCCAGCCCCGCATCCTGGTGGGCAGATTGGGGAGACGGAGAGGAGAGACATGAGTGAGTGAATGTGGTTATCCAAACAGAGTGGTAATGGTTGACTGGTTAAAAAAGGCAGCAGTGGAGCCTCACAGGTGTGCATGACAGCAACTCCTATCATCCGTCTGCTCATGCTCTCACACATCCATACCATAAGGCATGCACACATATACAAAGGGCATACAATCTCAAAACGTGGGTGTGCATGTGTGCGTGTGTGTGTGCGTGCGTGTGCGTGTGTGTGTGTGTGTGTGTGTGTGTGTGTGTGCATGTGCGTGTCCACGCATCGAGCAGCAGATCATCGGCACCCCTCACCTTGAGGGTCTTCATGCTGCTCACCCCTCACCTTGAGCGTCTTCATGCTGATCATGTGCGACGCGTCGATTGCTCCCTCCTCCACCTTCCTCACCACGTCTCGCACGTTCACCACCTGCGTGCACCACACCACACCACACCGCACCGCACCGCATGCCATGCATGGGGGTTGGGGAGGGGATGGTGGAAGCGAGGGAGGTTGGGGGATGATGAGACGGCACAGGCGGTTGCAGCAAGGGATAGGCCAGGCGGGTGGGGCAGGGGGGCGCAAGAGGGTGGGACAGGGGGGCGCAAGAGGGTGGTGTCACCGCAAGGGGGAGACCGAGGGCGGAGGGGGCACGTGGGAGCGGGGGGGCGCACCTGGAAGCGGAGGGGCGCACCAGGAAGCGGAGGGGCGCACCTGGAAGCGGAGGGGCGCACCTGGAAGCGGAGGGGCGCACCTGGAAGCGGAGGGGCGCACCTGGAAGCGGAGGGGCGCACGTGGAAGCGGAGGGGCGCACGTGGAAACGGAGGGGCGCACCTGGAAGCGGAGGGGCGCACCTGGAAGCGGAGGGGCGCACGTGGAAGCGGAGGGGCGCACCTGGAAGCGGAGGGGCGCACCTGGAAGCGGAGGGGCGCACCTGGAAGCGGAGGGGCGCACCTGGAAGCGGAGGGGCGCACCTGGAAGCGGAGGGACGCACGTGGAAGCGGAGGGGCGCACGTGGAAGCGGAGGGGCGCACGTGGAAACGGAGGGGCGCACCTGGAAGCGGAGGGGCGCACGTGGAAGCGGAGGGGCGCACGTGGAAGCGGAGAGGCGCACGTGGAAGCGGAGGGGCGCACCTGGAAGCGGAGGGGCGCACCTGGAAGCGGAGGGCCGCACCTGGAAGCGGAGGGGCGCACCTGGAAGCGGAGGGGCGCACCTGGAAGCGGAGGGGCGCACCTGGAAGCGGAGGGGCGCACCTGGAAGCGGAGGGGCGCATCTGGAAGCGGAGGGGCGCACCTGGAAGCGGAGGGAGAAGGGGTTGTGGAAGCCGCGCTTGGGCAGGCGGATGCGCAGCGGCGTCTGCCCGCCCTCGAACCCGATCTTTGGGTTGCGCCCCGCCCGCGCCTTCTGCCCCTTGTGCCCGCGCCCCGCCGTCTTCCCCTTCCCCGACCCCATCCCCCGCCCCACGCGCTTCCCCGTTCTCCGCGCCCCCTCCCTATCCGCCAGCGCGTTCAGCGTCAGCAGCCCCCCGCTTCCCCCGCTGCTCGCCGCTTGCGCCGATGCTGAGAAGGCCGCTGCGCGGAAGGCGCGGGATGACGCGGCGGCGAGCAGCGAAGCGTGGAATGGCGCGGAGTTGGGGAGAGGTGAGCGGAGAGTTTGCGAGGGGAGAGCAAGGGAGGGGGGCAGGAGGGCGAGGAGAGGCGGAGAGTGTGGCGGGGGGGAACAGGAGGGGGAGCGAATGCGGATGGCGGAAGGATCGGCGGAGGGCGTCGATGCTGCGGACATCAAGGCGGGTCGCGGTTCGAACAGCGACAGCTCATCGGCGAGCGCGTGCGAGGTAGGCGGAAGGAAGGGGGTGGGGGGAAGAACGTTGCGGTGGTGCGAGGCGCGGCGGGCGAGAGCGCGGAGGAGAGAGCGATGCATGGCGGCGCGCGTGGTGGGACCGTCGGTGGCGCGGAGACGAGAAGGCGACGAGCGATGAACGATGGCCGGCACGAAGCAAGCAAACGAGAGATGCGCCGACACGTGGCGTTGAGGTCTGGACACGTGGAGCAGAATACGAAAAGGCGCGGCGTCACATGCGAGCGTGAGGAGGGCGCGACAATATGAGACTGCTGGGCGACGAGGAGAAATCACAGAAGTCGCGAGTCATGTCGCATGGCTGTGCGATGTGCTTTGCGACACCAGGTTGTGAGGGGGGAGGTGGGGAAATGAAGAGGGATGCACAAGAGGTGCGGTGGAGGGGGGCGATGAATTTGCACCTTGGCGAACTCATATTGGTAACTTGCACAGTTGTTGCACCTAGTCAGTTCGCCATATATAAACCCGACCAAAGCCCCTTGCTCGACCACCACCACCACAGTCGCACCCATTGCGTCTTTTTTTTCGGACGGTTTGCTTGTACCACGGCGCAAGCGCAAAGTGCGCTGTACGTAGTCGCACGCGCACCCACCACGTGCCTTGCATCCGCCCCGGCTTCTCGTTTCCACTCGCAGCTGTCGACGCGGATCTTGGTGTCCCTCCGCCCTCTCCGTCTCCGCTGCTCTCACCCTCGCCGTCGCCGCCGGCTCGTCGCGCGCTCGCTGCTGGACGTCGCCATCTCGTCTGCGTGACGTCATGGGTGACGTGGCGACTCAGGTGGAGGAATTCGCGACGCGACTGAAGCGAAGGTGAGCGGAAGGGAAGGAGCCGGCAGCGGTGGGATGGGGTGGGCGAATTCGTGTGGCTGGCCCCGGTGTCAGTAGTGGCGGCATGCTGGTCGGAGGCGAAGGGGCGCGCGCGATGCTAGTTGCGTGCACGGTGCCCCATCCACATCGCTGCCCTTTGCACCGTTGTTACCACGTGGCTACGGCGGGTGTGACTGTAATGCGCGTGTGGGTGCCCATTGCCTCGGTGTGTGCGCCCCGTGGCTGCGTGGTGGCGTGGCGTGGCAGGCAGGAGGAGGGGCGGCACAAGACAGCGCGGCGGACGGCGGAGCTGCTGCGGCTGGTGGTGTCGCAGCAGCGCATGCCCGCCGCGCACCCCACCGCCGCCCTACTCGACGCCGTGCGCTCCGTCGGCTCGCGCCTCGCCGCCGCCAACCCCTCCGGTGAGCCTCTGGTGAGGTGAAGCATGTGGGATGCAGGTGCAGGAGGCATGGTGCAGTGAGCCTGGCCTGGCAACACAAGGCCCCTCCTCGCACCCTCGCGCACTGCCATTGCTGTTCTCTCCCCACCGCACCGCACCCCATCCCCTCACTTGCTGCCACTGCGGAGTAGCACGCGCTGCATGCTGACCGGCCCTCACTCTCCCAACCACCACATCCCCCTTCCCCCCACACCCTCCTCCACCCCAACGCGCCATGGCGCGGGCAGCGGTGGTGGTGGGCAACGTGGTGCGGCGCGTGATGCACGCCATCCGCGAGGAGGACGCCACGCTGCACCTCGCGCTCGCGCATGCGCAGGGGCAAGGACACACACACCCGGGCCATGCTGCACCAGATGTGGGCGTGCGGGGGGGAGGGGGCGCGGTGGGGGGCGAGCGGTGGGGTGAGGAGGGCGAGGGCGAGGGGCGGGGGGGCGTTGTCAGCAGCGTCGGTGGCAGGGAGCAACCGCAGCGTGCTGCTGGCGCCGTCGCTGCACAACCTGCTCGACCCCGCCACTCCCCCCTCCTCCTCCGCGCCCCTCCCCCCCTCCGCCCGCTCCTCTGATGGTGCCTCTGCCCCCTCGCCCGCTGCCGCTGCCACTGCTGCTGCTGCTGGTGGGTTGGGGAGCAGCGGAGACAGGGAGAGAAGGGTGAGGAGAGAGGGGCGAGATGGGAAGGGGTGGAAGGGAGGAGAGGCAGGATGGATGGAGTGCAGATGAGCGAGCAGGCAGGAGTGGTGTCTGGTTGTGTGCGGTGCTGGCATGGACTGTGATGTCCCATGGGTGTGAGAGAGGTCAGCTTGCGGTGCGCTGGGGGTGAAGAAGCTGGCGCTGGGCTGCCTGCCTTTGTGTGTGCCTGGGGTTAGCCATCAAATCGACGCTTCTACGTGCCGTGCTATCGTGTGCTTGCTGACGCCCCACTCAATTCATGCTTGCCTGCATGTGTGCATGTGTGCATGTGTGCATGGGACATATGTGCATGGGTGGTGCATGGGTGCATGGGTGCGTGCGTGCATGCATGGCAGAGCGGCGGCTAAAGCACGTGGTGATAGAGCGAATCAGCGACCTGCTGGAGGAGATCGACAACCACCAGTCGCAGCTTGCCGACCAGGCGCTCGAACACATCCACCAGAAGTGAATCCCTCCTCTCCCTTCTCCGCCTCGCGCTCCCTCTTTTCTTGTCCCACACCTCTGCGCTCCCTCATCACGCATCGATTCCCCTTCTCCTTGTGTGCGTGCCTCCAACTATTGCTGCCCTCAATGCTCCTGTCCTTCTCTCTCCGTCCCTCCTTCCTTCCACCTCTGTTTTGCTCAATTTCGTGTTCCCTCCCTTGTGTGCCACGTTTTGCCCCCCTTCTCGCCCTTGCTCCTCCCTCTTCTCTCCCCCCCCCTCCACACACGACACGGCATGGCACGGCACGGCATGGCACGGCACGGCACGGCATGGCACGGCACGGCATGGCACGGCACGGCACGGCGTGGCACGGCACGGGGGGCAGTGAGGTGATTCTAACGATGGGCTTCTCCGACACGCTGCTGCTCTTCCTGCTCGAAGCCAGGAAGCGACGCTCCTTCCATGTGAGCCTGCCTTCCATGTGAGCCTGCCTTCCATGTGAGCCTGCCTTCCACGTGAGCCTGCCTTCCACGCGAGCCTGCCTTCCACGTGAGCCTGCCTTCCACGTGAGCCTGCCTTCCCATGCAGCACAACCCTCTCAGCTCGTCACGCGCCCACTTCAATCGCGTGCCAGCCCCCTGCTGCCAGCCCCCTGCTGCCAGCCCCCTGCTGCCAGCCCCCTGCTGCCAGCCCCCTGCTGCCAGCGCAGCAGCCCCCATTGCCACCTTCCCGCCTCCCCTCCTCCCCGCGCTCCCCCCATGGCAGGTGGTGGTGGCAGAGGGCGCCCCCTGCTACGGCGGGCACAAGCTGGCGGCGGCGCTGGCAGGGCGGGGGGTGGCGGTGACGGTGATAGCGGACGCGGGGGTGTTCGCCCTCATGGCGCGCGTCAACCTCGTGCTGCTCGCCGCCCACGCTGTCATGGCCAATGGCGGCGTGCTCGCACCCATTGGTGAGCGGATGAGTGACGACAGCAGAGGCGATCGCGTGGGAGAATTGTGGGAAGGAAGAGGGAGAGGAGAGAGGTGCTGCAGCCTTGAGTGAAAGTAGACTGCCTGTCCTGCTTGCATCAGAGCTCACATCTCTCTTCTTACTGCCCCCTTCTCCTCCCTGCCTCACTAACCCCCTTCTCCTCCCTGCCTCACTAACCCCCTTCTCCTCCCTGCCTCACTAACCCCCTTCTCCTCCCTGCCTCACTAACCCCCTTCTCCTCCCTGCCTCACTAACCCCCTTCTCCTCCCTGCCTCACTAACCCCCTTCTCCTCCCTGCCTCACTAACCCCCTTCTCCTCCCTGCCTCACTAACCCCCTTCTCCTTCCTGCCTCACTAACCCCCTTCTCCTCCCTGCCTCACTAACCCCCTTCTCCTCCCTGCCTCACTAACCCCCTTCTCCTCCCTGCCGCACTAACCCCCTTCTCCTCCCTGCCTCACTAACCCCCTTCTCCTCCCTGCCTCACTAACCCCCTTCTCCCTGCCTCACTAGCCCCCTTCTCCTCCCTGCCTCACTAACCCCCTTCTCCTCCCTGCCTCACTAGCCCCCTTCTCCTCCCTGCCTCACCAACCCCCTTCTCCTTCCTGCCTCACTAACCCCCTTCTCCTCCCTGCCTCACTAACCCCCTTCTCCTCCCTGCCTCACTAACCCCCTTCTCCTCCCTGCCTCACTAACCCCCTTCTCCTCCCTGCCTCACTAACCCCCTTCTCCTCCCTGCCGCACTAACCCCCTTCTCCTCCCTGCCTCACTAACCCCCTTCTCCTCCCTGCCTCACTAACCCCCTTCTCCTCCCTGCCTCACTAACCCCCTTCTCCTCCCTGCCTCACTAACCCCCTTCTCCTCCCTGCCTCACTAACCCCCTTCTCCTCCCTGCCTCACTAACCCCCTTCTCCTCCCTGCCTCACTAACCCCCTTCTCCTCCCTGCCTCACTAACCCCCTTCTCCTTCCTGCCTCACTAACCCCCTTCTCCTCCCTGCCTCACTAACCCCCTTCTCCTCCCTGCCTCACTAACCCCCTTCTCCTCCCTGCCTCACTAACCCCCTTCTCCTCCCTGCCTCACTAACCCCCTTCTCCTCCCTGCCTCACTAACCCCCTTCTCCTCCCTGCCTCACTAACCCCCTTCTCCTCCCTGCCTCACTAACCCCCTTCTCCTCCCTGCCTCACTAACCCCCTTCTCCTCCCTGCCTCACTAACCCCCTTCTCCTCCCTGCCTCACTACCCCCCTTCTCCTCCCTGCCTCACTACCCCCCTACTCGCCCCGCCCCCTCCTTCTACAGGGCTGGACATGGTGGCACTGGCTGCGCGCCGCCACGCCGTGCCCTTCGTGGTGCTCGCCGGCATCTTCACTGTCAGTGCTGCTGCCTCCACCTGTCCCCCTCCTCCCCTCCACCTCCCCTCTCCACCTGCCCCCCTCCTCCCCTCCACCCCCCCTCTCCACCTGCCCCCCTCCTCCCCTCCACCTCCCCTCTCCACCTGCCCCCCTCCTCCCCTCCACCTGCCCTCTCCACCTGCCCTCCACCTGCCCTCCACCTGCCCTCTCCACCTGCCCTCTCCACCTGCCCTCCACCTGCCCTCCACCTGCCCTCTCCACCTGCCCTCCACCTGCCCTCTCCACCTGCCCTCCACCTGCCCTCCACCTGCCCTCCACCTGCCCTCCACCTGCCCTCCACCTGCCCACTTGCTGTCCTGCACTCACTTTCTGCGCCTATGACATCACGCGATGACACACATCAATCTACCTGTACCGTACTGCACCGTGCACCAACGCTCCTTCGTCTGGATCCTCACGCTCCTGCCCCTGACTGCCTCTCTCCCTCCATCTGCCCCCCCCCTCCCCGGCCGCACAGGTGTGTCCGCTGTACCCACAGCAGGCGGGGCTGGCGGGGCTCAACGACCTGCGCTCGCCGGCGGGAGTGGTGGGGCTGGCGGAGCTGGCGCACTGGGAGGGCCTCGCGCACCTGGGGGCTGCACTCACCACACAGGGGCGGGGCAGTGGCAAAGCGGGCGCACAGGGGGGTGAGGAGGCGGAGGGGCAGAGGGGGGAGGCGGGGATGGAGGTGGGGGTGGAGGTGGTGAACCCGGCGTTCGACTACATTCCCCCGGAGCTCGTCACTCTGCTCGTCACCGACACGTGAGTGGCTTCCCTGCATGCCGTCTCGCTTCCCTGCATGCCGTCTCGCTTCCCTGCATGCCATCTCACTCCCCTGCATGCCATCTCACTCCCCTGCATGCCATCTCACTCCCCTGCATGGTACCTCCTCACCTTCTTCCGCACTCTCTGTTCTCCTACATGTCCACATGGCAGGGGCGGCCACAACCCGTCCTACATCTACCGCCTAGTTGCCGAGTACTACAGCCCGCACGACCACAACCTCTAGCCATCTTCTCACATCATTACAGGAAGGCCATGTCAGCGCCTACTACCGCTAAGCTCAGCAGCACCCTTGGCCCCAGGGAGGTTCCTAGGATGTCGGGTATACATTTACAGCGCCCACCCGGATACACCGTATGCCCCTGGTCACTTGACGGGTTTGACAACCATATTCCCCCCTGGATAAAACACCCTATGGTTCTGTGATATTTTCATTAAAAAAAAAAAAAAAAAAAAAAAAAAAAAAAAAAAAAAAAAATGGCGGGTCGCAAGGAAAATATACCGTAAGGCCGCTTATCCAAACCCCAGGAGTTTTGTATTCTGGGGGTCTTTTACCCAAATAATTTTGGCAGTTCCGTCCACACATCCTTCAACTTCGACAAGCCCCCCGTTATTCCCGCTTTGAGGTATGCAACTTGTCGTGCAAATTGGTTACATGCACTTCTGGAAAGTGTTAAGACTTACCAAAAAAAAAAAAAAAACTACATTTTGTTGGGCTGAGAATTAGCCCTTAGGATCTTTTCAAGGCTACCGTATACTCCCGGACAAAACACCCCCCCATAATTGTACACCCCCGGGTAGCTTGTGCGGGGTGGGTGTTATGGGGAGCCTCGTTTCTACTATACCCCCCTTTTTTGCTGATTTTCTATAACACCCCCCTTTTCTTACGAATTCGTTATAATAGTCGTTAACGAGTAGCTGCAATATTGAAGAATATCGCGAAAATTTCTCCCTAGATGAAATTTCGCGGTACATTCACTTACAATCTACCGAGATTTCCCCCCTCGCACTACTTCGCTGTGACCACGTGCAGGCGAATCTTCCGCTGCAAGTGGCAAGAGAGGTGCCACATGGCATTTTCGTGGGGGTGATGAAGCTCGTGGCCGAAACCCACATTCGCGCCTCAGACAGTGATGTTAAAATGAAAATCAAAACACCCACATTGTCTAATTAAATAAACACTAACACTAAAATATACCATATGTAAAGACCCGGGTATTATGTATTTTTTTCCTATGAGGAGACCCCCCCCATTTTTTCCCTGTATTTTTAGCTATACCCTAGGGTGCTATGTCCGGGAGAATACGGTAAGACCTTTTGACTAGAAATGTTGTAATTGCGGAAGCGTAATAACGAGTTTACTGAACCACCTTGCACTAGTATGTGAGAACAAGATGAGTTGATAATAGCATATGTTTACAAAGGAATATGAAAGGTTTTACTTTAACTGTTTTTTCTGTTGCGGTTCGATACAGTGACGACTCGGGTAACTGCTCAATATCGAGTCAGTTATGTGTCCTTGCTGTCGCGCTGTATTTTTCGTCGAGTCAAAGGTCAGCGACCTTTGACATTCGCGTAACCACTAGCTGTTACTTTTGTTGACTCGCGTGTTGCTTCGCTGTAGTCTGCTCCGTTTCGTGTCGATACTTCGATTACTTCAGAAGCGTTAAATTACTTGTTTCCAACACTCCCCTTCACTTCTGGAGTGTCGCTGCTGATGACGTGTCCTTGTCCAGTCAGCAGCATGCAGTACTCGAACTTCTGTTTTCCGAGTTTCTTGGTCAAGTAATCGGCTGCCATCTCGGATGTGGGACAGTAGGATAACTCGAGTCTTCCCTTCTCGATTTCGTCTTTTACGAAGAAGTACCGGAGGGCGATGTGCTTCGTTCGATTCGCGAACCCATTTTTGTTCGCTATGCGAATGGTCGATTGGTTGTCGCAGAAAAGGGAGAAGCTGGGTAACAGAGCCAATTTTGCTTCTTCCAACAATTCGCGAAGATATAATCCTTCCTTGGTAGCTAAGCAGAGTGCGATGTATTCTGCTTCGGCTGAGGAGAGAGTGATTAGCTCTTGCTTGTTCGATTGCCATGAGATAGGGCCGATAGGTTCGAGTCGGTAGATGTAGCCAGTACGAGATCGCATGTTGTCAGAGTTTCCGGCGTGATCGGCGTCGACGTAGCCGATTAGTTTATGTGTCGTAGTTCCGCTCTTGTGGTAGGTTAGTCCGATCGTCGGGGTGCTGACGAGGTAGTGAAGTGCACGGTCGAGCTCCATAATGTGTTCTGCTTCAGGTTTCTTGAGATAGGTGGCGAGTTGACTAGCTGAGTAAGATAGGTCCGGTCGGCAGGTAACGGTTGCGAAGAGTAGACAGCCTAGCTTTCGTTGGTAGTCGCGAATGCCGGCGGGTTTGAGTAGGGCGGAGGCTTTGTTGCGATTTCCGTCGGTGCAACGGTATGGCGTGGTGCTGGCGGTTGGAGTTAGTCCGAATCGTTTGGAGATGGTGTCTGTGTATTTTTCGGCGCTGAGGTGGATTGCGTTGTTGCCGTCTTGTATGTTGAGTCCCAGGTACTGTGTCACGGTAGTCGCGATGGTGAGTGTGAGATCCCGCTGCAGCTCCCCTTCAAACCAGGTCATTATGTCGTCGGTGGAGCCTATGTAGAGGAGATCGTCTACGTAGACGATGAGCAGGATGTAGTCGGTTCCCTTCGTGAGCCGGTACATTCCTTGGTCATGCGGGAGTTGGCAGAATCCGATGCAGATTAGCCGGGCGTGAAGATGCTGCTGCCATAGTCTCGGGGCTTGTTTGATCCCGTACAACGATTTTTGCAGCTGACAGACTTGGTTGGGGTCTGCATTAGATCCATGTGGATGTTCGACGAAGATCTCAGCATCGACAGGGGCGTAGAGGAATGCGTTGGCAACATCGATTTGTCGAAGTTTCTTTCGGTTCATGGCGGCTATCGTGAGGAGAATCCGCCGTGAGGTATGTCGGCTAACTGGTGCGAATGTTTCCGTGAAGTCTCGTCCATGTTCTTGGTCGAAGCCACGCACGACCCAACGTGCTTTGAATTTGTCTATCGTTTCGTCGGCTTTTGTTTTCACGCGGAAAACCCATTTTCCCGTGAGAATGGTCTTGTTGCGTGCCACTCCGATAGGCACGACTTTCCAGGTGTTGCGCTCTTGCAGCGCCTTTAATTATTTGTCCATGGCTTCGCGCCATTTTTCCCTGTGTTCCCCCCCAAGAGCCTGCTGAATGTTGGCAGGCTCCTTAGGTGGTGCTGCTCTGTGGACGGCGGTGACGGGTCCTAGTATCTGCAGTCCACTCTGTGTGTAGCGGGGAAGATTTGCGTCCTCGAGATAAGTTGCTTCATCTCCCGCTTCTGGATCCGGTAAGAAATTGGGTCCTATCCGTTCGGAGACGTTGGTGTTGACTGATTGGGGTGTAACGTAACCGTTGTCGTCGAAGTAGGTTTCGGCGTTGACACTTTCGCGAGGGTTGTCGTCGTCCATGGGGATGTCCACTGAGCAATACGGAAGAGGTCCGGCTGCCTCCGAAGCTCCGTCCACGTTCTGCTCGTCCCAGTCAGCTTCGTCTGCTGTCGAAGCAAAAGCTCGGTTGCCACGGAAGCCGCCCGTGAGGTCTCGGTGTGCTGCCAGGTTGTCCAGGTACGTTTGAAGTGTGAGTCGCTCGTAGAAAATGACATCACGTGCTGCTACTGTTTCCTTCGAGTGGACGTCGAAAATCTTCTATGCGTTGTACTGCTTTTCGATGCCCAGGTGTAGCCCCCATTGTGCGCGTTGTGAAAATCTTCCGGCTCTTGCAGTGTGCGATCGGTACTGTACCATGCACCCAAAAACTCGTAACATTTTTGTGTTGCCCAGTTTTCCTGTCCACAGCAGGTGCGGTGATGCGTTGTTCGGGAGCGATGATGACGAGAGCAAGTTGTGCAGCATGACAGCGTGGTCCATCGCCTCAGGCCACTGGTGGTTGGGCAGTCGCATGCCACGCAACAGTTTGCGCATGGTGTTCTGGAGAGTTCTGTTCATCCGTTCTGCCACGCCTTGCTGTTGATGGGCGTAGGGAAGCGAGATGAGTCGCTTGATGCCTCGTTCTGCGAGGTACTGTTTGAACCTTTGTGACTGATATTCTCCTCCCCCGTCTGACTGGATACTTTTCAGCTTTGCTCCTGATTCTCGTTCTGCCACAGGTAGCCAGGCGACAAAGGCTTCGAAGGCCATGTCGCGACTTGGAAGGTTGAGATGCCAGACGTATCGGGTGGCGGCGTTGATGAAAGTAATCACATAGTTGTATGCTTCTTGACCTTGTTCGAGAGTAGACAGGATATCGCTGTAAACTTTCTCCAGTGGCGCATAAGCTGGTGCGCTTGGATTGTGGTGAGAGATAAATGGTTGATGAGGTAAGTCGGCTTCGGGGCAAGTAAAACAGGTTCCTCGGACTCGTTGAAGTTCTCTGCCGTCGGGTAGAAGTAAGGAATCTTTGTCGAGTACTGCTGCCTTGATTGTGTTGTTTAACGTTGTGTTGCTGGGATGACCCAATC